ATCTGTGCTGAAATACAAAATGGGAAATTCATCTGACATTACCATCATAGTTCAATGAGATGAAAGCAAGGGACCCTGGTGTAGCAAAATTTGAACATTTTGAAAGCAGCCTGATTGACCTAAGATGTGCAGAGTTAAACAGGCTTCTGCATGAAGCCTCTGGGGATAGGTGTCTTCATACAAACTACACAAGGGACCACATGGGTGGGGACAGGAGGCCCCTCTGCTCGATGTTTTGCTTTGCTTTATTCCATCTTTGTCCTTACTAACGTTATTTCTCCAATGGCTTGCAGGTTTTTCTTTACTTTTGTGTAATGTCTGAACCTTTTACTTTGAGAATACCTCACTGAAGGATCATGTTAAATAACGATCAAAAAATAACTCATCAATCTGTGTAGATGTGGCAGGCACTGTAACACTATGTTAACATGTTACAGGTACAAGTTGAAGAAGAAAATGCTGAAAAGCTGACAGCATGTTAAAGATGATTTGTTTATACAAGTGCTAAAGTTATGTTTGATATGTTAATGCAACCTCATTTTCTAGTAAAGGCCAAACACTATTAAGTGGTTATTTGCATTGATTTTTCTATCTTCTGAAATACTTGATTCAAGGTAAACCATCTTTACTCCTTTTGTATAACTGGAGCTGAGGCTGTCTTTTAACAGTCACTTTCTGGGTGGGCCTCATGGATTTTACTCAGTGATACTCTCCTGGTCCATTTCTTGACCTCTCTATCAGTGTCCCTTTTAGCAGATGCTCCTTTTTCAATTTGTCTGGATTTTCCCTTTGGTGTTCCAACACTCCCACCTGGGGAGTCGCTGAAAGGGGTCAGCACCCACTGCAGCTTGAACCAGTGCCTCTCACAAACATCCTCATTCTGCTGAATCATGTTACCTGATGCTCATTAAAAAAGACTCAACAGTAGCCTGATCATTTACATTTTAAGATGGGAGGGAAGGATGTGTTTACTTGCTTTCTATCCTTGCTTTCCTGGCTGAATCTCTTCTTATCCTTTTGGTATGTTACCTGCTTTGCTTTTCATTTTGTGTATTTGCTGCTTGTGATATATCCTATGGTGAGTACAGAGGTATTTGTTTCAAGAGACTGCATGCATTTAGAAGAGTTGCATGGTGGAAATGCAGTTAAAGAGAAGATTGAGGTCCTGTTGCTGGGAGTGGATGATGTTGTACTGACAACTGTCAGCTGGGCAGTGATGGCTGCTCAAGGAACACTTGGAGTAGGTTTAATGAGGTTCACTGTCTGTCAAGTACATTATCACCTGATTCAGGCTAGCTAAGGAGACTTTTTGGGAGAAATACTTTCAGAGAGGAGAACAGATATGTGGGTTTGAAAGAAGAGAGGAAATTTTTGTCAGGATTGATTTTGTGGGTGGGTTTTTTCTACCTTCAATTGTCTACATTGCCTCTTCAGCTACAGAACTGTGAATGCACACAGTAGACCACACAGTAAAGTTAATTCTTAGTGAATTGTTTGTGTGATACTTTTATAAAATTATGTTCCCATTTCTGAGGCTTTAATATCCTTTACTTGGCAAGGTCATCAGTGTTCTGGTCAAGACATTTTCTCATTGAGATGTGTCCACACTGCTCCTGTATTCCTTGATGTACTCAAATATCTGAGGTAGAGAAGCAGTTTTCTCAATTGACAGCCCATGTTTCATAACACATTGAACTCATGGGAATTTGCATTTAGGGGCACAATGAAACCTCAGATCTGATGTTTAGGTAACCTGTGTTGCACAAAAGATATTGTCTGTTTGAAGTTTTCCCAAGTGTGAGTTTTTGCAAGTTTGAGATAACAGAATTTAGACATAGTATCTCAAATTAAACACTTCCTTTAGCTTTCAGCTTTCTTAAAAGGATGCATCCAACATTTGCTTTTTGTCAGTACCAGGTTGGATGAGGTCTTCTCTTCACTGTGCTCCAAAAAGTATTTTTATATATGTTTTTAGAAGGAAATTCAGTTTCTTACTTGCAGCTGTTGGCATTTTAGAGGCCTAGAGTGAACCAATAAAAACACATGTTCTTTTAAAGAACATCTATTTTTACTGGACCTTGCTAACAACTAGTGACACAGAATTCAAAAAATGTTGGCTCAAATGAATAGAAGGGCTGCATTGTTTTAAATTCTATTTTTAAAACTTTTCTTTACACCAAGGTTATACTAAAATTTCACATGCTTCTGCTCTTATGAAAAGGAGTGCTTGCCTTTAGAATGCTGATTTAATATTTCCAAAGTAGCTCAAGTATCAAAGTTGTAAAGTATAAAATTTTATTGAGACATACATAGTGTTGCTGTTTAAGACTATTATTATAATGCATTCACAAAGAGGTTAATTGAAGGTTTTTCTTCCTAGACAGCCAAGAATAAAGCAGAATATCTTCTGTTAATGCATTGTTTCCAACATAGTAAAACGCTTAGGTGCAAAGGTCAAACTAGATCACCATTTCTTTCAATGATGTACCAAATGGAATTCAAGCAGTATACTAGTTGAAAATGCCCTGGGGTTTTTTTTCAGATATCAACACTCTCAGTAGAAATGAAATGAAAGAGAAATTACAAAATGTTCCCAAGTTTGATGTAAATGTAATCATATCAAGGTTGACTTGATGGGAAGGTTTATCCATTTAAGTTACCTGTGTTGCATCTTTACTGTATCTTTACTGTGTCTTTACTGTATCTTTACTTGTTCTGTGCTCTGCAAGATCCTTGAGTCCCACTGCTGCTCTTTATTTCAGTGTCCTGTCTTCACAGGAGTGGAGAGCAGAATTAAGATTGCACCCATGCTCTCAGTGGTACAATCTGCTCTGTACACCAAGATCTTTTCTCATGAATTCATGTTGTTAGGTTTTGCTTTTAGCATATTTTCACATGCCTTTTGGAATCAAGACAATAACATGATTATAAATTCAGGTTTTAAAGGTGATTTGAGATTTTAGTCTTTTAAATAATATTTACTCTACATAAACTTGTGCTGTTGTCAAATTGTGGATTTCAAAACACTGTTTTGAAGAAGAATGTTGGCAAAGCAGAGGGGTGTCCTGGTGATCATACGTGATGTAATGTATAGTGCCTGCAGTGGTTGATTGATTTATTTTAATGGTGTTTAGATCACATATGCCAAGGGAAAAAATGTTGCTAGAGAAAAAAACCCCATAGTCTGTGTTTAGTTCTTCAATAGTTTTAGCAGCACCTTCACGTCTGCAAACACATAGTTTTTGTGCTGGACATGGAAAAAGTGTTACATCTGGGATTCTGTGATTTGTGATTTTGTGTGTGTGTGTGTGTGTGTGTGTGTGTGTGTGTATGTGTGATAACACAGACATTAAATATCTTGAGTATATGAAAATACTTACAATCAAATGTATCTGTATTACCCTATCTGTGGAAAAATGTATTTTTTCTTGCAATAAAAATGAAACTTAAGAACATTAAGTGCATTAAGTATGTTAAGAAAGTTTACAACAGACATTGAGAGAATTTACTAGGCCAGAAAAATTCACTGCCTTTAAAATAGGCAATCCTATTAGAAATAAGCTGAGATTTCTAACAGAAGTAATGAAATATAACAGATATGTTAATGGATTTTTTAATAGTACTTTTGGGCTCCTACAAATGTTTAAAATTTATTCAAATAGAGGATTGGATCATTCTGGTTTATATACTATACTGAATACCTGATGAGCAGTATATTTTTAGGCCTTATTTTGTGTTTAAGAATTGTATGTGTTGGCATGTCTTTAAATTTCTGTCTCAAGATCCTGTAGCATTCATTATTTTATTTAGACCTCATTTGTAATTTTTTCACTTCTGATGCTTTCTGTTTCACAGTTTGGTTTTTTTAGAGTTTACACGAGCCAGGCTTCATTGTCCAATATACTGAATTGCTCAGGAATAGGGTGCATATATATGATGGGAAGTTCAGTTCTATGTTGTCCACAGTCACCAAGACACCATGAGAGACTGACATTTCCAGGTCTTTTGAGACAGCAATGCTTACATGGGCATTATAGCACAATTCTTATTCTTTTTATTTGCTAGTGTTTTCAGAAAGTATGTATTAAAATATTTTTTATCAATTAATTATCTTTCATCCCTACAGTCTACTAGCTGTGGGCTTTGGTGATCATATTCAAACTACTGGCTTGTAATACATTTTTGTAAAATGCTTCTCCTGGTACTCTGCTTTTCCCTAGTTCTAACAGTTATTCCCATATGTCTTCTTGGTACTTTGTCTGCTTTTTTTTTTTTTTTTTAGAACAGGGGGGGTTTTGTAAGGTAAAGAACTGTCTGCAGACAACTAATTGCTCTTTCAAACCAAGGAACTAGGCAAGACCTTTTATAGTTAACATAAAAAAAGAGCAAAATACAATTTGGTTTTACTTGCTGATTTTTAATCATTAAAATAAATGCTCAGCAGACAGCAGTAAGTCTACATGTGTAGGCACACAGTAGCAAGTGCTAATTTTCTCATTTTTTGTCATTAAGTTAAATATTTAAAGAAAACAATCTTGGAGAATTAGTGTAATGTCTTAGTATGAAAAATACAAATCTAAAAATTTCATCTATATTTTCTAATAAAAGGCTGGATCCTTGATTTGGGAGGAGGGTCTTTCATTTGCTTGCATTTCAAAAAGGATCAATTCTTTCCTTTACATCTACTTACTTAATACATAAATGCCAAAATCTAGCCATATATTGGCATAACTAGGAGCAGAAATTCAACCCAACATTCTGATAAATATCTTATCTGATACATAGCGTTTTTGGCATACTTTTGGACCAGGAAAAAACTGAATAATGATACACATTTTAAAAATGTAGCTTTAGTACTGTCTGGGATTGTAACTTGCTTTTGTCTGATGCTTTCACTACTGCAGAAATGGTGATGGGGTTATTTACGGTAAATCTTTTGGCTTGTTGAAAAAAAATATGCCCACACTCCTCTCCTTAATGGGATTCTTTCCTCGTTGCAGTGCAAACGGCTGGAGCAGGAGCTTCATCATCTGAAAGAGCAGAACCAGACTTCAGCAAACAACACGAGACATATGACTGCTGAAAACAATCAAGAACGTGCTCTGAAGGTAAATCTCCATTTCTTCTTGCAGGCAAATTAAGGTTGTAAGCCCCTGGTGCCAGCTTTCTGGGCTGCATATATCAGTTGTGTACATTTCGGCAGAAGTGAGCTATGGTGTTTGCCAACAACTGCTTCTTTAAACACAGATACAGCACCCTTCTGTTATGGTTTTATTTTATTTTGCGTTTGAAAGCAACAAGAAAAACATAACATATCCTCCAAATTATTGGGCTGGTAATTAACACTAAATTCTTGAGATCTGTCTTTGCAATATTACATTGTATAAGGTGAAGAAAACTGCAATTATTTGCTTCGTGGTACCTTTGCAAAACTAATATTTTAAAGCATGGCTGTTTGATCTGCTCCCAGCAGTGTGTGCTATATTAATAACATTGTTGACCGATACTACTAGTGACCACACAGTTGATACTACTATTTGCAAAAGGGTAGCTACTTGGAATTGGGAGGAGGAATAATAAGTCTTGTCAATAAGAATAAAAATGAGCAGAGAGGCGGGAGAGGGTCAGAGAAAGGACAGTGTAAAGTGACAGGTTATTGCTGCTTTGAGAAAGGGAAATTGTAATGTCAGTGGAATTGATAACTACATAGCCTGCAATCTCACTGCTAGCCAGGATGAGAGACTATGCCAGGTAAGATGTGCAAGCATTGTGCACACCTCTTCAGCCACTTTATTCTTAAAAATCTCTTTTATCGGTAGTGGAGATACAATACAAATACAGAAGCTATTCTGTTTATACTGTGTTGTCATTTTAAAACTGTTTCACTTAGACAGTAAGATCCAAAGGTATCTCACTTACAGATAGATTTTCCTCTGCCTCCTTTTTTCTATTTTTTTTAAATTTATTTGGGAAACATCATTATACATACAACAACATGACTGAAGCAAAGTATAAGTTAAATCCTTGTGTAGTTTGACATTTCTCACTAAGAAAAACAATAAATAGAATAATAATAAATTGAGAAAGGCTGTGTGCCACACAAATGCTATATATTCCATGGGTTTATAATTGCCATCAAAATCTATGGTGAATATTACAAAATCAGGTGTGCAATCAGATGACTAGAAATGGAGATCATGAACATTCAGGGGCTATTTCTGACTGCAATAACAGCATTGTTTTAAATCTGGTGTCACCAAAACTGCCTGCCAAGCATGCTACTTATTGAACATAGTATTGTTTTTCATTAATTGCAAGCTGACTTGTTTTTTCTGTGTCATTGAAAATATTGTGCAGAGAGCCTTTCTGCTAGAAAAAAGTTTTATTTAAGCTATCCTTTTTGCATTTAATATTGTCTGACATAACGCTTACAGAATAATTATATTTTCAGAGCAAGAAGTGATTTGATAGTTCAGAGTGTTACTAGGATTTCATTCTAAGCCTAATATTGCTCTCCCAGCACCTATTCTTTAAAGAATTTCATTTCTGACTGTCACAGGAATTTTTTTATTTTTCAAAGTTAAAGGTTAATTGATCATAGTCTCTTAGAGATGAGAGTCTGGGGAGGAAAAAAGACCGTTTTTCAATTTTTTTAAAGTTGAACTTTTTGAATATTGTAGCTCTGTAGAGTTAGTCTCAGTTCAAATTACTGTTGCCTACAGTGAGCGCAGGTCCTTTGGAATATTTTTTAAAGGCCAGGTTGTATTCTTGACCTCCAAAACTTTAAAATGCCGCAATGAAATATTGCCAATGGTAGTTAGCTTTGATATACAGCACATGAGCACAATCCTGACCTCATGTAAATGAAAAGCTTATCACCAACTTTTAGTGTAGCCACAGCCTGGAAGACTAATGTCCAGTAAGGAGGGAAGTCAGGTCAGTGACTCGCTTAGGAGCGGGTTTGGTCAGGGTTCTGGGGCTGGCTGCAAATGGCTGGGGTGCTCCTGCTGCTGTCAGCAGCACAGCTCCCACAGAACAAAACAGCCAGCCAGAGCCCTGTGACAGCCACACACTGCCCCTGTGAAACCCTCGTGTTCTTGGCTGTCACCTCCTGCCTCTTGTATCCACTCAGTAGCTCTTGCACGGCTGCACACAGAGTGCAGGTACAGACCCAAGCATCCCGTCCTGTCCCCTCTCCACTGCAGAGCATCTTCTGGACATTTGTCCATTTTTAGGGAAATGGGACACATCATTTGTTTCTGTGGTACAGGGTAAATATCAACTCAGCTTTTATTGTCATCATAATGCAAGGAATTACTTTTATTTTAACCACCTCCACATGCTTACTAGGGAACTGTGCTATGTATTTTTAACCTGTCCAGCAGAAGGAATCCAGGTATTTCTTCTGAGTCTGTCCAGGAAAGTTTGTATCAAGGAATTTTTTTTAAAAAAACTGTCATTTTCCTTATTCTCTTATACTTAACATTGAGGCAATCTGTTGATTCAGTTTGGCAAAAGATGTATCCTCTAGATGAGGAGTTTGATCTGCTTTGGATTTTCTTAAGGGAGTAACAGAAGTGTAAACGTCAGTTGTGGTGCAGGGATATTTGCAATCTTAACTGGATAAAAATAAAGTAATCATGATCAGCTAGATTAGGGATGGTGTGAAAGTTTGTGATAAAAGATGAGATCATTACCTCTATGGGACCCTGAAATACACTTAAGAACAAAACCCAATTGCTATTATTTCTTTTTTACTTTTTAAAATCATTTCACAGTAGTGAGTTGCTTGGAAGGAAAACAGTGTAAGAGCAATCCACAAGCAACCAATTTCAGTCCACTGATATTAGGTCTATTAGGTAAAATAATCTGCAAGCTTTCAGATTTATTTTTCAGTATATCAGTTCACAGGGCTATGCCACCCTTCTTTGAGACAGTAGCCCTCCATTGTCAGGAGTGAGGCAAAGAGGCAGGGAGACATTATAACTGTGGGAGATGTGCGGTGGCAGGAATTTGGCTGGATTTGAGATCTGGAAATAACAAGGATGATGAAATCACTCTTTTGCAGATTTTTGTTTTTTACACATTTAGATTCCATGTCACACCTGAGGATAATGTGACAAATAAAACATATGGCACAGGTGGCATGCAGTGCACATTGTAACATGCTATTTCATCTTGCTGTGCCATATAACATCTGCACATCTTGCTAAGATATCTCTTCTTAACTAACCTCTGAGTACATGTTAGTAATATGTGATTTAAAGTTTCCATATTTAAGGTATTTATTGCATAGAAAATTCCTTATAGTATTGTGGGCCATGCAGCCCCACAATACCAAACTGGCACCCCTACTTTTTGTAATATTCTTGTTGGTCATAGGGCATTGTATTAATTGACTGAAAAAGCCAATTTCAAATCTTCCCTCCAGACAATGCCCACAGCTGCACAGAGGTCATGCAGAGAAGCATGTGGGCCCCTATTTCCATAGTTAAAGTAAAATAATCCTCTTCTTTGTGAAACCATTTTTTAAAATCTCTTATTATATTTCACATTGAATTATAGCTAAATCTTTTTGGGATAATTGCTTCCTAAGGGTCTATACATTTGCGCTCTTAGTACATTTTCATAAAATAAGATCTGAGAGTGCTTTGCAGTTCTAATGTGTTAAGGTCTATATGTGAGATTATTCATTTTTGCTTGGCCTTCATAATTAACATTTGGTCTCTACTGATTCTGGTAGATGTATTCCCATAATACACAGACACAACTGATTCAATTAAACATAGGAAAGTGGAAGAATTGCTGCTTCTTCATTATTTTTCAAATATTCATTCATTTTACTATTGTTAGCTTTGTAGTGTGTAGTTTTCAAATTCAGAGTTTTCACTAATACATTTTTTTCTAAAGAAAAATAAAAATTTTGCCAGTGTACATGTCTTCTTTACTGAGTTGAAGGAGAATAGGAAATAAGTCTTGTGAAACCAGTAACTTAATGTGAAATTTCATGAAAAATGTTTAACTGGATTTGACTGAAATAGAGAGAAGAAACTTTATTTTTTTCCACAGCCCTTCTCTATTTTGTAATTTCTAATTAGGTACTATACTCTTCTCAAACCAGCTATTAAGCTACTTTAAAGATCAGAAAGACATACTAGTTTTATCTTTAAGCCAAACTTTTGAAAAGAAGAGGACTATTTCATGGTGATATACAAATCAGGTGACCTTTACTGACTAAATGAGGTTACTCTATTGAATTATGATGTCATTAGAACTTGTAAGTGTTATTAATCTCCTTCAGGCTGGTTTAGATGTTACATCTTGTGTTATGATTGGGTTTTATTTTTGTAATATCTGCCTTTCTTTTAGTCGTTATTTTTTGTAGAATTTAACCTACATGGTTTCATAGTTTTATTAAGAATATAAAAGAGTTAGAGTCCAGAAAGTGACCTGAAGGAGCCATCAGAAGTTTGTCTACAGTAGTGTTGTAAAGCAACTGTGCCTGATGTCATCTAATTTCTGCTGACACGTAAGAATCAGGTCAAGGGCAGGAAATCTCAATGCATAGCAGTTTGGTAGTTGTTCCAGTGATGATGACTGTGAAGAAGCCACTTTAGAATAGTTAAGTATTCCTTGATGCCTTTCATAATTTTTATTAAGTTCTTTTTGATTCCCAGAATTTCCCAGATTCTTCGAGTAGAAACCATTTTTCCATACCTATTTGACAGCATCAACCACAGAAACAAGTTGAGCTGACTGGTCAACCTGTCATCCATGAAGGGCATCATCACAAGAGATTCTGATGTTATAAGAGCTTAAAAAAATTTTCAAAACCCTTAACATGAAGTATGAAAGTTTGCTATGACATGAAGTATAAAATTTTGCATATAACATGAAGTATAAAAGTATATATGTTTGCTACTGTTGAAAAGCACATGCCATTCGTGCTATTGAGGCATACAATATGGAAAAAAGTCCTTCCAGGTGATGTGGTCTTTATTTGCAAAAACTAATTCTAACTGGTTTTAGGTTGGTGCTTCAGAGCTGAAGTTTCATAAGTTTAATAAGTTTAGAGCTGGTTTATATACAAAGCCTCTGATTTCAACAG